TTTGAATTTAATATTTTATATTTTCAATAAAAAAATCACTGGGCTGATTAGATTGTTACCACTTTTAAATATTTTTAAATCACAATTAATCATTTAATTTCTGATCATGCTGAGATGGGGGGGACCACCTTCTGCTCTGCATCTTTCACGTTTATTTATGCATTCTTCGTCGTAATCCAAACGGATAAAGTCACTTACTTCACCAGAAAAAAGTTGGCTTATTTGTTCCGTATAATAATAAATGAAAAGTGAAAGTTACTTATTTATTAGTCGAGGGTTTTTGTTGCATGTGATGTGCCGTAGGGTTTTTTGGGTTTTGTGTAGTTCTATTCGGGGTTTTTGTGTGTGAACTGATGGCATAACATGGAAAATTTTTTAATTTTGGGAGTATAATTTAAATTATTGGATTAGTAAAGGGGTTATGATATTGGAGGAAAAATGCTATAATTACAATGACATGTAACATTGTTAGTTTACATAATATTTCTGTTAGTTTACATAATATTTCGTTATATAATTAGATCTTTCATTTATAGGTCCACCCATCAGTGATATTATATATATTTATTTATTTAATATCACGTTATATTTCATTTAATATCACATAATATTGTAAATTTATAATTTTATGTGACATTTTAACTATAGGATTGTCCATATTAGAGATTGTTTAGTTTATATTTTACACTTTAGTGAGAAACAAAGCGAGCTAGAGGCAGCCATGGCCAGAAAGCAGTGACAAATAGATATCCGCTACTGTCAAATTTTCATGGAAATAGGAAAAAGTTAAAACATTGCTTTAGCAATTGCCCTATCTATATCCAGCTTCTATGAGATATTCTCTAGGGCAATGCATAACACAAGCATATCATGGGCCTTAATTGGTAGTCTTCAATTTCCATTAAGCTTATTCTCTAAGATTCCATTAAAAGAAAAAAAGACTGCCCCCTTTTTTCCTCTTTTGTGGGTGAATATATAATATTCAATACTGTAAATATCTTTACTATATCCTTTTATGAATAATAATTGATTAATTAATAATTATTTTGTAGTGTAGTAGTATTCTTTTAGCCAGTAAGGTGAAAAAAACCTTATAAAAAAACTTACTTTACTGGTCAAATCTTCAGTGAATGTGTTTGATATACAAAATATTCCACGCTAAGCATTTGTGGATGATATGTGTAGTATATGTATATCTTTTAGAAAAGAGGAGTGCTGTCTTAAGAAATGAAATTGAGTCTGACTCCACTGTTTTTGATAAGTAATAGGACTACCATGTGAAATGCAGAAGGAAAATACATAGGCCTTTGGTGAAGTGCGGGTGAAATCAAATTCACTGACAGATATAGAGCAGGTTTTATATATATATTTCAGGTCTCAGGTTAACTGTGTTAGCGTGACTCTGATTTTCTCACGTTATTCACTGTTGCTTGCATGCACATGATGTTGCGTGTATTTATTTTCTTTCACTTTTGTGTCGGGGTGGAGCCTGGAGGGGTTCATGACTAGTCTTTATTACACTAAGGAGAGAAAAGAAGCAAAAGCTCTAACATGGACTAGTGTCAATTTCGTGTCATTTCATCAGTCCTAATGCTTGCAATTGGATTATCAATAGCTTAGACACCTTTGAATTATTGGAATAAGGCAATTGACACTAATGTAATCACCTGTTGCAGTTAATGGTCCACTTATGATGGTTGTGCTTGCCACTCTAATCTGGTTCATGTACAAGTATGTAATAATAATGCACCATATTTTAAGTGACAATTATGAATAATGATTCTACTTTACTAAAGGGTTGGGTATATTTATTGATACAACAGGAAACCTGTATCTGTATGGTACCTTTTAGGAGAAGAGAAAGTGATAATTTACGACTAACCATGACTAACCCAGGAGCAAGGCATCTCCTTTAATAGTTGATAAGTGCACCTAATGAGGATTGTTATTCAGAATGCAGGAGGATTTGTTGAATATTTAATAAATTGTGAAGATGCAATTGAAGGGGTTGATGAATTGTGAGACCATGTTTTTATCTTGTAAAGAGGCTTATAAGTGGATTTTCTATCTCCAACATACCAAATGCATTTTTTGAAGATATTCCATGTTGATTGCATTGTGATTTGTGAAGCTGTCATATACTGTTCTCAAAAAATTCTCTCTCTCTCTCTCTCTCTCTTTATATATATATATATATATATTTCTATATATAATTTCAGTTTATAGTGTTGATTTTTTTCTATGGAGATCAAAGTTCTCCAACACATTGTAGTTAGTCTCGGCCTGTTATCACCTCTAACTTAGGATACTGAAAACGTGCAGATTAAGGATGTGGCTTTGAAAGTTTCTGGTGCTTATAAACAATGCAAGCCCTGTACGGGCACAAGCAGCTGCAAGAAAGAACATAGACCTTACCCAGATTCTGATGCTGCTTCAGGAGGAGTTCCATACCCTTACATAGCTGGAAGCTCAAGCTCAACACCTGCATGGGATTTCACAAGTGCTGGTCACCGTGCTGGTGCAAGGTCTGACTCAAGATTTACTGGGACGTTCGGTGGTGATAGGACAACTGGAGGGATGGAATCTATCTCAGCACAGGATGTGGTCCTAGAGGATGAGGATGAACCTAAGGAATGGATGGCACAGGTGGAGCCAGGAGTTCATATAACTTTTGTGTCTCTTCCTAACGGGGGAAATGATCTAAAACGAATTCGCTTCAGGTATGCCATCACTCATCCATAACCAAATGTGTTTAAGTAGAAGCTTTAAATTCAGATCCCAAAATGCATGTTTATCTTAGTAATCATCTAAACATAAATAATTCTGATGTCTAAATATCCTTCTATTATAAGCTTTACAAATAGTGATAAGTTAGCATTAAAAAAAAATCTTGACATAAGTTGGGGTTGGCCACATATGTAGTTGTCAACATGATGACTCCATTAAGTACAATGCAATAGCTTGGGACCCCTTTTTTGGTTGTTTTGGATGGCCCATGTAACACAATCATCAGTTCAGTGCTACTGCCTGCAGAGTTCATGGGATGTGTTCTGATAACTGTAGTCTTGATTGCCAACCTTATTCTTTGTTAGATTACTTTCATCACATCCATGATAATCAATCATATTATACACTTGTGAAATGGAAAGGGACTTTTGTGAAACTGACTTTATATAGACTTTTGAATTTGAAGTCGAGATATGTTTGACAAGTGGCAAGCCCAGCGATGGTGGGGTGAGAATTATGACAGAATAATGGAGCTCTACAATGTCCAAAGATTTAATCGTCAAGCACTACAGACTCCTGGAAGGTCAGAGGATGAGGTAAACCTCTTTAACTTCACCTCATAGACATCTTGTTGCTTGCTAGAAATTATGGGTGTCCAATAATTTATATGTTGAACTAGAGTTTGGGTCCATGGGGGACGGTGTGGGTGAAAGATGTTCCTACGGGAAATGAGATCAACATATAAATGAAAGGAAGGATGGCTTTCAATCCATTCTTTTTCTGGAACACCTTAGCAATGAAACATGGTATACTGCCAAATTTCATTTATCCTATCACTGCATAGCATCAACACTTGCAAACAGTTAAAAGGTTACATTGCTGCCTTAAATTGTCTTTCTTGCAATCTTTATACATGATAATTGATTGGGAGATTACTTCTAACTGATTTATTATACCCTTCAGCTGCAGAGAGATTCTTCTTACTCGAGGATAGAATCAGTTAGAGAAAGCCCAATGGCTTCATCATTAAACAAAGACTGGACACCGAGAATCTACCCTAAACCATCTGGAGGCAAAGGCTATATCCCACCTGACCACATGGACCAAGTAGGCAACCAATACTACAATGCTGGGCTGAGTGTCAATCCTGGTGGTGGCCCAAGAGGTGAGACAACTTTTGATGCATCAAGGACAACAACCTCATCCAGAGACGAGCCCTCTCTTTCTGTTAGCAATGCCAGTGAAATCGAGGCAGAATGGGTTGAACAAGATGAACCTGGGGTATACATTACCATTAGACAGTTAGCTGATGGCACCAGGGAACTACGTCGAGTCAGATTCAGGTAATGAAAGTTCACCTTTATTTGCACTTTGGCCTGAATCACCTCTGGTAAAGATAACCATAGATGATATATCTGCCTAACAATCTTTTGATGACTTCCTATTTGATTCTGTGCAGCCGAGAAAGATTTGGGGAGGTGCACGCAAAGCAGTGGTGGGAAGACAACAGAGAGAGAATACAAGCACAATACCTCTAATTACAGTCACACACAAGTCAGGTGCGCCTGAAGTTGAATGTCCCAAGAGAATGAACATACTCAATTTTGTTCTGAAAAATGTAATGGTAAGCATCCGTCTGGTGCTAGAGTGAAGTTCTTTTGTCACACACAAAAAAAGAAACAAAAAGGAATCATCATCTTCAGAGATGATGGTAAACTGACTAACGTAAATATTACAGTAAATTGAGCAGAGCTCTAGTCTTTGGTGATGCCCCATTGACATTTTGGCTCGGCAGTGTTTGTTTGTTGTAATACAAATTCAGTTCAAGAAATGAAATCAATCATATATCAGGGCTGCATTGCATGTATATAATGAGTTTCTTGCGTTTCCTTGACAAAAATATTCAATTAGCATAGTAAAAAAGAATAACAAATTATACTTAATAAAAATTATTTTATGATTATAATTGTACTGTACTGTAAAGTAAAACATAAGACTAACAAAAAGGCAAATTATACTTATTATCTCATAATCCTTGGCTAAACAAAAACTATCTAGTTATTTAGTACTATGAACATTAATCAAATATATTTATATCATCTTAGTTCATCTTTGGGTTGGAAAAGTCGAAATTGGGATTCTGAGTCATGAATTTCTTGAGCATCTCTTGGTTCTCTATCTCTTGACTGGTGGGAAGGCCCATCTGCTTCTGCCTCTGATCAAACATCATCTTCTCCACAGCCGACCTCGTCTCCGTGTCCAAATCCGACAACTTGCTCGGTTCCGGTTCTGCCTTCTGCACATCAATCTCAGGACCTCCTTTGAACAAAGACTTCCACCAGTTGCTTTTGTCGCACTTGGTCATTAACACCGAGATCGTCTTCTGGTCCTCCAAGCTCCAATAACAATCATCCGTCATCACCGCCTGAAACAGCTCCCCCTCCACAATTGGAGCCCCACCCTTGAGACCAATCCTCAAGGAGTTGCTCTTGATCACGCACGAAACGTCCCTCGCCTTTGTTCCAGGAGGTACCGGAACCGTCAGAGTCACCTCCTGCAGGTTCTGCCCCCATGAATGGTTGTCCATGTCGAGACCGTTTGCTTGGTTTGGAGTCAGCTTCTTCTTCTCCTCCTCCTCCTCCTGAGCAACTTTCTTGGCCGCCTCCTCCTCCGCCACGATTTTGTCCCTGATATTCTTAACCAGGGACGAGATTTTCTTCTCGGAAGAAGGGGTCTTGAACATATCAGAGTTTTGATTAACAAAGTCGAAGGCGGATTTCAGAAACCCTGTAGGATTTGAAGGATCAAGAACGGCATTGAAGGACAATGTCGAGGAAGAAGGAGGAGAAGAAGAAGAAGAACAAGATTTCCGGTTTTCTTGAACTTCATCGTAATCTTTAAGGATCGCCATGACTGAATTCAGAAACTGGAGTGAAGGTAATGCACAGGGGACAGCCGTATATATAACTATAAGGTTGTGAGATAAATTTCAGCCTGGAATATAAATCCGAGTTCAGCTGTAATTAGGATAATTTTAAGAGAAAAGCAGGAGGTAATGGAAATGAAACATTTATTGAAAAAATTAAAATATTCTTAATAAATTTAAATTTCGAAAAGGATTATAAATTTCTGTTCAACTGATGATTAGGATAATTTTAGGTGATTGAGAAATATTAAGACTTTAGAAGTCTTTTTATTAATTTTTCATGTTGATGTTTAATAGGTTTAATTTGATTTTTTTTT